TTTCAACCATAAGTAAGTCCATCAAGAGTTCACGAAGCCACTCTACTTCAACAGTGGTAGTGTCCAATGCTGTGAGTTCTGCTTCCATAGTTGACCTCGTTAAGATGGTCTGCTTGCAAGACTTCCAGGAAACAGCGCCACCATCAAGTGTAAAAACATAACCACTTGTGGCCTTTATCTCATCAGCATCAGAAATCCAGTTTGAGTCACTATAACCCTCCAGTATCCTTGGATACCCGGTGTAGTGAATCCCATAGCTCGCGGTGCCTTTCAAATAGCGCATAACTCTCTCAAGCGCATGCCAATGATCATCTCCTGGTTTTGACACAAACCGACTCAGCTTGCTCACAGCAAAAGAGATGTCAGGCCTCGTGGCACTCGCCAAATACATAAGCGAACAAATAATCTGAGAATACCTCAGTTGATCTTTAGCAATCTGTCGATTCTTTCGAAGCAACACACTAGCATCATATGGAGTTGGAGAAGGTGTGCAGTCGCTATACCCAAAACGACTCAAGACCTTTTCCACATAGTGAGACTGAAGCAGTGTGATCCCACCATTCTCATCTCTCAACAGCTTGATGTTTAAGATAACATCAGCTACTCCTAGATCCTTCATCTCAAAACAGCGAGATAAGAAATCCTTAACCTCCTTGATTAAATCAAGTTTGGTTCCAAATATCAATATGTCATCGACATACAGACAAAGATTAACTCCTTCGCCCCCACCAAAGCGATAGTACACGCACTTGTCACCATCGTTTACTACAAAGCCGGCAGCAGTTAATGTTTTTTTGAACTTCTCATGCCACTCCTTAGGAGCTTGTTTAAGGCCATATAAAGACTTTAATAACTTGCACACCTTTCCTTCCTGACCAGGTACTACAAAACCATCTGGTTGATCCATGTAAATTTCCTCCTTCAACTCTCCATTGAGGAAAGTTGTCTTAACGTCCATTTGATGAACGAGAAGACCATGTGAGGCAGCCAGTGATAGTAGCACCCGAATTGTGGTCAGCCTAGCCACGGGTGAGTAAGTATCAAAGAAGTCTTCACCTTCTTTCTAGGTATAACCCTTGGCCACAAGCCGTGCCTTATACTTTTCAATCGTACCATCAGGTCTAAGCTTCTTCTTGAACACCCACTTACATCCTACAGGTTTGCATCCATAAGGACGGTCAGTGATCTCCCAGGTACCGTTAGCTAAGATGGAATCCATCTCTCTACGTACAACTTCCTTCCAGTAGTCAGCATCAGGAGATGCATAGGCTTCTGAAATAGTCCTGGGTGTGTCATCCATGAGGTACACAATGAAATCATCACCAAAGGACTTTGCAGTCCTCTGTCTCTTACTCCTCACAAGAGTTCCATTGTCACCCTCAACAGGATTCTTAACGTGTTCCATCGCAATGGTGGGTTCAGGAATTACAGTGAATTCCTCACTAGATGGAGGAGGTATCTCTTGATTTGATGAACTCGACATATCCTTCATAGGAAATATGTCGTCAAAGAAAGTTGCATCATTTGACTCCATAATCGTACCAACATGCATGTCGGACACCTCAGATTTTATTATCAAAAATCTATAGCCGATGCTATGAAAAGCATAGCCCAGAAGAACACAATCCACGGTTTTTGGTCCAAGCTTGCGCTTCTTGGGAATTGGTATATTGACTTTCACTAAATAACCCCAAGTACGTAGGTAAGAGAGTTTCAACCTTTTCCTTTCTCATTCCTCAAATGGAGTCATGGTCTTATGCTTTGTGGGAACCTGGTTTAGGACATGACACACAGTCATTAGCGCCTCCCCCCACCATTCCTTGGATAGACCCGAAGTGTCTAACATGGTGTTAACCATATCAGTTAGAGTTCGGTTCTTTCTTTCGGCTACCCATTTGACTGGGGTGGGTAGGGAGGCGTCCTCTCATGGATTATACCATGTTCCGCACAAAACAGATCAAATTCATTGGAAAAATACTCTCCACCACGATCGGATCTAAGCCGTTTAATTTTTCGATTAAGTTGGTTCTCTGCCTCAGCTTTATAGTTTTTAAAGAAAGTCAAAGCCTCATTTTTTGATTTCAGAAGATACACATAACAATATCTAGTGGAGTCATCAATCAACGTCATGAAGTATCTTTTTCCACCTTTTGTCAACACACCATTCATCTCACAAAGATCAGAATGTATAAGCTCTAGTGGCGCCAAGTCTCTTGCCTCTGCAGTCTTATGGGACTTGCGAGGTTGTTTAGCTTGCACACATACTTGGCAATTAGAGCCCTTGACAGGAGAGATTTTCGGAATTAAATTCATATTGGCTAGCCGCGTCATGCATCCAAAATTAATATGACAAAGTCGTGAATGCCAAATATCAGACTCATTATTGTGGCAAACATTATTAATAACTTTAGTGCAAATATCTGACAAAGATAGGCGGAACAAGCCTCCGCACTCATAGTCTTTTCCAACAAATTGTCCACACTTAGAAATTACAACTTTATTGGATTCGAAAACCAACTTAAAACCATCTCGACATAAACGGGAACCGCTAACGAGATTTTTATTGATAGACGGCACATGATGAACGTTCTTCAGACGCACGGTCTTCCCCGAGGTAAACTTCAGATCGACCGTACCAACACCTCGAAAGATGGCATGTGACCCGTTCCCCATCAGCACGGGAGAAGTCCCAGTGGCCTGGTAAGAAGAAAACATGAAGGCGTCAGCACAAACATGTACATTGGCACCGGTGTCAATTAACCAATCAGGGGATTGAAATACTGAAAGGATGGTAGGAAAAATACCGTACCCTGATTCCTTCATATCAGTATCACCGATGACGACATTAGCGGACTTGCCGCTCTTCTCATGTTCGCGCTCCTCAAAGCGGTTAGGACACTTCGGAGCCCAGTGATTAGGATCACCGCAGACATGGCAAAGTCCCTTCCCCTTTTGATGAGAATTTTTCTTGAAGTTGGTAGAATGTGATGGCTTGTTCTTTGTATCAAACTTGCATTTGCCCTGAGTTTTGTTCTTGTTGTTTTTGAACTTGTTGGGATGGAAGTTCTTCTTCTGTAGCATGTGGGCACTAGAACCTCCCTCAGCAACTCGAGCACGTGTGTCCTTTGCTCTCGCCTTCTCTTCAACATCAAGAGGACCAATGAGATCCGCAATGGAAAACTCATGCCTCTTGTGTTTCAGGATAGTAGCAAAATTGTTCCACGAAGGTGGAAGCTTGGCAATGATGCCCCCGGCAACAAATTTGTCCGGCAACACACACTTGAAGTACTCAAATTCTTTTGTGAGCGACTGTATCTCATGAGCCTGATGTACAACAGCGCGCTCATCAGTCATCTTGTAGTCATAGAATTGCTCCATGACGCACAACCCGCTGCCGGCGTCCGAGGCACAAAACTTGGCCTCGAGCGCAGCCCACATGTCCTTGCCGTTGTCAAACGACATATACGAATCCACAATTGAGTCATCAAGAACACTCAGAAGAGCGCCTTTAAAGAGGGTATCAATCTTCTCAAAAGCTTCCAGCTGTGCTGGATTAAGATCGCCCTCAGGCTTGCCCTTGGTGGCGTCATAGCAGCCCATGGTCTGAAACCAGTAGACTGCTCTCGTGCGCCACCTCTTATATTGCGCCCCCTTAAAGGCAGGAGGCTTCAGATGCGCAGCAAAACCACTCGGAGTAAATTGCCTATAATCAGGCTTTTGGATTGTTGGAAATATGAGCAAATTACTACGAGATTTAATCCGAATAAACAGAAGATAAATCATGACTACAGCAATAGAGGTTAAACTAATCATGTGAACTATCATAGCAGATGAACAGATCACATCTAGGGCACATACTAGAAACATGAATTCTACCACGATCTCGAACAGGAAGAATATAATCACATACGGTGCAGCAGGAGCAACACCGCCGGTGTTGACGTTGTCACCCATGTCGTCGAGGACGAGGTTGCCGAGGTCGGGGAAGAAGTCGTCGTTCGCGAAGTCGTCGCTGCCAGCAGTCGCGCGAGTGCGCTCCCCAAAAACCTGATCGCCCCTCTCCCGTACAGGATCACGAGAGACGGGGTTCCGGAGGCCTGCTGTCCCTTCTTCCGGTGCACGCCGAAAGGAGGGATTGAGAAGACTTGCTTGGCGGCGCAATGATCTGGAACGGTGGTGAGAAACCATACGAAGCGGCGGCGGCTAGCGTAAACGTCTGCCTGACTATATAGTGCGGGCCAGGTAGGTCGTGGGAATAAACCCCACGTCCGAGTCGTCACGATCCAAAAGAATCGGAAACGGTTCAGTAATTAACGCGTCCGTTAATTATTAATTAATGACTCATTCATTTTCCCGAGCAGCAAAAATATAGACAACGTGCATAGCTCTGTCCTCGGCTCGGCTCAATCCCGCAACCCGCGGCGCGTTGTGACGAGGCGTGGCGTGGCGAGGCGAGCGCGTGTAGGTCTTCTCTTCTCATGCTCATACAAGTGGTAGAAGAGCTCACCTTATAAAAAGGTGCAACTCTCTCTCAACTTTCGGGGTGGGACTAAACTTTAGCCTCACTCACTCCACTGACATATGTGCATGAATGGGCCAAAAGAATTTCAGAATTTTAGTTCGGCTTTGGGCCAAAGGCCTACTAGCAAATTTCCAACAATATAACGCGGCTGTTGAAGATGCTTAAAGAACAAATCTTCGTGCCAATTCTCCTGAGCCACGAAAGGCACGTCGCTCGTCGTGTTTCTTCGAGTTTGGCAGCAACAAAAGTAATAATAGTAACAGAATGAAAAATCAGCTTATTTCCTCCATTTCACCAAGCAAATTAACGAATAACGAATCAAACAGCATACAAATCACTGGAACCAACCATACGATCCACGTAAACAAATTCAACTCACACAAGCCCCACCGTCACTCCGATCATGCACGCACGCACAGCGGCGTGCGCGCCACCGTCTCCCTCACGAACGTGTCCGGTGTCCCTCCACGGCCCTCGCCTAGTACGGCCTGACGCCGGCGTAGTTGCCGGGCGGGTCGTACGCGCAGACCGCGAAGGTGCCGCGGCCGCCGGCGCAGATCGCCGTGGCGCAGCCGACCCTGGTGGTCTTCCGCCACACGATCTGCGTGTAGTGCCCGCACGCGCCCCGGGCGCCGCGGCAGGCGTTGTACCGGGCGTCGTACATGGCCCGCTCCTTCACCACCCACGCCTCCACCACGGCCTCGGGCGTCCACCCGCCCCCGCCGCCGGCGCCGCTGCCGCGGAACAGGTTCTCCCCGTACCGCCCGTGCGAGTGCACGAGCGCGCACCCGGCGCGCGCGCGCGCCCTCGCGTAGTCGCGCGCGTACCGCTCCAGCCCGCCGTCCCACGCCAGCGCGCGCACGCCCACCGCGCGGCGCGCCGCGTTGTGGGACGCCAGGAACCGCCACGCCTGCTGGCTGATGCCGCCGCCGGCCTTCCGATGGCCCCGCGCTGCGTCGGCTCCGCCCGCGGCGAGGAGGATGACGGCCGCGAGGACGAGGAGGGCGGCGGCCCCGCGGCGAGGAGGCGGCATTTCGGTCGAGCTTTTGGTAGACCAGGTGCTAGCTCGTGGATGACCAACGTGCGTGCCGGTGCTGCGCCGTGACGGGTGGTTTGCTGCGTGTGGTATTTATGCATGCGAGCTTGGCGCGGGAGAGTTTCATGGTGGGCAGGCGTAGTTGCTGGAGCGAAGGAGTGGCGTCCATGTCGAGTGGCATGCCATGGAAGGATTTGGACAAGATAAAGTCCACGCGCTAATCAATCTGCGCCTACGTCTGTTGCGTGATTTCTGGCGCGAAGTTGGACATTATATGGGGTTGTACGTATCCAGGGACCGATCCTCTGACTGCCAGACCATGACGAGAACGAACGAACGAACTGGCGAGGAGTTGGAACAAAAATTATTTGCCGTCTCAACAGTAGGTAGAAAAACGAAGCGGAAACTTTCCGGAGGAAAATGGAAATGCAAAAAATATGAAAACATAAACAGAAATTTGCAAAACCAAACCGAAACGATTTTTTTTACACGGAAACAAAAACAGAACAGTGTTTTTCGACGAGAAAAACATAAATATGGAATTTCTGATTTTATTATAGGCCTATGACTACTTTATAGCTCAGTCACAAAACAATACACAATTATATAGTGAAGAACAAAAATGCTACACCTACAAAACCTATTACGTAAATCTCTTACGAAAAAGCCATTCCCTTCCGTAACCCTTACTAATTACCCTTTCATTTCAGTGTGGAGCCTTGTTTTGTCCAATCAAACAACCCCACGTCACCATGTACATAACCTCCCTAGGTAATTTTACGTAAGTGTAGCAAAGCTCATGAAAGAATGCCCATATGAAACCCAACTTCTATTATGATGCATGCCCTTAACTAGACTCTATACACAATTGTCCAATACTACTACGATATTGCGCTAAGTTGCTAACCTAGCCATAGTATTTTGTGCCATGTTAACAATGGATTAAATTAGTTGGTTTGGTTGTGTTTTCTCTACAGTTCAACCTTTCTAAGCTCCGGTCAACACTCACTTCAGTTATCCTGCCTGCACGTATTCACTTTGTATATGTTTCCACTAATATCTGTTTCCATATTCATTTTTGAGGTTTCTATATTTGTTTTCTCTTTCGTAAAAGATTATAAAAATAAACATGGTAGCACCTAGTTTTATCCGTTTTCGCTACGTTTTCATCTTACTCAACAGGAGAAGATCATGGAGCATTGCCTAGCAATTTGCTCGTGGGCTTTGATTTGTTCTGTTGCGATAACTTTTATCTTTTGCGCTTCTATTCTTGGGCCTCATTTGTGCTCTCCCTAGCGTTTTGGGTTAAGCCTCCATTCAATTTGGGCTGGGCCATTTTCCAGGGACGAATGCTCTTTTTTTTGGAAGATTTTCACAGGGTTTTAGGTCCTATTCTTTTTCAGGGGAAAACTATATTTCGTTGTTAAAATTATTATACCAAAGGTTGTGCTTCATGACAAGTGATGGCCTCCAATATAGCTGGATCGATGACCCTGGAAGGGCGATCGATGATGAACTAAGAAAATGTCCATCCTGATCCTCATCAACGTCGTGCTTGACGCGTTGCCTATCTATGTCATGGTTGTGATGGAGCGGCTTTCACTTTCAGTGAGATTTTGATGAAATTTACTGAATTTCATTAATTTCAGCAGACACTAAAAATATTTACCTTTCGGCCAAAATATTCCGGAAATTTTAGTAGTATACATGAATTCAAATAATTTTCACTTGGATTCAAATATTTAACTGAATTCAAGTGAACATTTTGTCTTTCTTTGAATTGCAAACCGAAATTACCGAATTTCGGTGATTTTGGTTTGTGGCAAAAAAATAATCTGAAAGTGAAAGTGAAAACCTTGGATGGAGCTCCCCTTTGGCGTGGTGAATATCCTTGACGGTCTTCGCGGCTCTTTCCTCTGGGTGGCCGCGGACTCCGGTGCTCAGTGCCTTGTGGCTTGGGAGTAGGCATGCCGCTCCAAGGATGAAGATGGGCACGGCGTTTGCTACAGCAAGCTTCAGAACGATTGGTTGTTGCTCAAGCTGGTGCATCAATTGCTTTCGCAGTTGGCGTCCTCCTGGTCCGCTTGAGCCTAGTCTGAGTTTGGGAGCCATCTCCTCGCTCCGGTAGCTCAGGGGTCTGTGCGTGCTGTTGGCCTGACCCCCATTGGGCAGAGCTGGCGTCCCTACCACCTCTCTATCGTTTGATCTCCTCGGTCGGGGTAGCCGATGGCCGTCGCACAACGTCGTGGCTAGACGCTTGGCAGCTTGGCGCCCCCTTCATGCCCTCCATGGCACCCCCCTTGTTGCATACCACCGAGCCGGGGGTGTCGGTCGCTGTGGTGCCGCAAGGGCGCCGACTCCGTCTTGGCCGCACGATAGCACCTCGCTTTCCTGGATGGAGACCTCGCCGCCCGGCAGCTCCCCTCCGGCATGACACCTCCCCTAGCCGCACGGCAGCATCGTCGCTTTCCTGGATGGCGCCCTCGCCGCCCTGCACCGCGTCGCAAGTAGGCGGTCATTGCTCCGTCAGCTCCTCACCGTCAACAGGCCGTCAACTCTCTGCACCGCCATCGCCATGCTGTGAAAACAGTGACCAGTTAACTATGACCACCGCCATCTATTTCAAAGCTTATTTCTCTTTTAGCGAGTTTTTTACCGAGCCATTTAATTGTGTCTTACACGCCCAACAATATGACCCCGCGTGTAAAACATGATCCGCACACATGTCTTCACATAAAGAGTCAAGGAATTTGTCGTTGTCGACTGACGAAACAAGCGACAAGAGTACCGCTTCTCTGCCGGCTGATGTACACGAGAAACCTGCGCAAGAGCACAGTAGCAAGGGATCACAAGGGGTTTGTTTTCATCTCTATCAGTTGCCATGCGAAGACTTGCAGTTCTACAGGGGAAGCAAAGGGACAAGCTATACTGATCGGGCTTGGACTACTGTTTTCGGAGGCGGTATAACTGTAAAGACTGACAATGCTTTAATTGCAAAGTAGCTGGAGAAAGGGAGATCAAATCGATGGAGCTGCATCCAAATCATTAGTAATATTAAAGCTGTAGTGGTTGCTTTTGACTCTGTCTGCATCCAACATATTCCCAGGGCAGTGGCGGAGCTTGGGACACATCTTAGGAGGGGCAAATGGGCTGTTGGGGGGCAACCAACATCAGGTTTAGGCTAGATTTCTATGAATCTATGGGCAATTTACTCATGA